ATGAACACTCTACTGGGACCAGGCAGCTTTTTCCAACAAACCTTACAGAAGCACAAGAGCAGGAAGATTTTGCTTCTTGCAGTAGAATAACTTTTTCCATGCCTCCTTGTCTAGCCTTGGAACGGTTGGAAATGTCTTCTCAGTGTGTGCATTAAAGACTTCCTGCCTGGAGTGTGCAAAGGACTCTGAGCATTCACAGGATATTAAACAGATTCGTAATGGAACCCAACAGTATAAACATGTCTTCAGTGCAGACAGGAATGCCTCAACCCCTTACGTCGTGTAATGTAAAACATACCCCAGTTGTCTGTCTTCTCTTCTGCAGATAAACAGGGGGAGAGATGTGTTTAAAGTGTTCTCCTGTGAGACAGATAATTTCTCATCTTGCTCTTTCGTTCTCTTCTGAAAACATGTTTCTTAAGGTGAAACTTTATAGAACTTTATAGCTTTAACTCAATCCAGTTAAATTAGGGCTGTTGGAGTGGCCTGATACGAGTCTGTTTTGTTGGTTCTGTTAAATGAGAGGCCTTATTTTACAAGTTTTGTCATTTTTCATGGTGGAAGGTGCAAGATAGAGCATAGGGTTTGTACAAATGTGTCAGGAAATACTGAAACGGATGCAGGCCTGTGACTTAGAGTCTATGTTAACTTGGAGAGCTGAAAGGAGGAAATGGTGCTTTCCTGATGTCTCTTCCATCTACAGCTTCAGCATAGCACTGTTGGGCTGATGCTCAGCTGCTGACAAACTGCCACGAGGAGGAAATGCTGTGTGTGTGGCAGTACAACTGTGGGGCATTGGTGTCTTCCAATGAATCAAACCCCAAAAGCTGCCAGGCGGCCTCGGTGCCAATTCAGGTGTTCTCTGTTTCTTACACTAACCCAAAAGCTGCAGAAGGAGGCTGGAAAAACTTCTATTTTTTTTTTTTTTCTTTAAAAAGGAAAGATTGAAACATGACTCAATGCTCCGTGGTATGAAGTCACCACTCTCCCTGTTATTCACTCCCATTATCTCTTTGCAATCTGTTCCCAGCGGGGCTTCCGGGCAACCAGCTGCTGACCCCTGTGTAAAAGTTATTAAAACAATAATAATAATAATAAAAATTGCAGTACAGAGGGAGGGAGCAGGGGGGTAGAAGTCTGGTGGTGGATGAACACCCTTCCTTTGTGCAGAAATTAGAACAATGCAGCATTGTGCAGGGGAAGGATGGGGATAGGAGGGCTCTGCAGACACCTGCCCCAAACAGAGCTGCAATGGAAACTGCCCTGTTGTAATTCACAAATATGGGCTGAAAGGTAATAGCTCAGTGCTGGGATTGTTTTACAGCCACGCCAGGCGAGCTCCACTCAGACAGAAGCCCTTCTACTGTAATCACTGAAAGAAAATGGATTTCCTGTCTATCTGCTTACAAGTGCTGCACGGATCCAGTGTTCAGGTCCGATCTCTAACACAGACATATAGTATTTCTTGAAGGGGCAGTGCACCATTCCCAGGGGAAGGGGATTACCCAAAATACAAGATAGTGGCTGATGAAACTCAATAGGAGCACTGCTAGAGGAGGGGAAGAATGCAGAACGACAGAAAAAATGGTGTGTCTGCTCCATAAGCTGCCTTGATCCACTATGTGTGCTGGGCTCCCTGCATAGGGAATTGGGCTGGATGCAGAATCTGGAAGCTTTGCTCATGTACATTATGACCCACTCAATGTCTCTGACTGTAAAGTGATTACTATTATGATTTGTGAGTTTTCCAGACAGTGCAAACAAAGGCTTTGGTTTTTTAGTCACATAGGGGCTGTGAGGTGAGGTTTAAGGGCTCTCCTCATCATCTCTGATGAGGGGAACTGGAGGAGAATCCCATTCTTGCACGGCTGCTGGGCATCCATGTGCGGTTGGGGTCAGCATGAAGTCTCTGTGTCCCAAGTGGGAGGCAGTGAGTCACTTCTTGGGGGCTGGCAGGGATCTTAAGGACTGCTGGAAGCTGTTGGGAGTGCAGGAGTGGGGAGAGGGGACAGAGTGCTTTGGGTGCCAATAGCAGTGTGGCAAAGGGGGTTGGGTGGAGCTCTGGCCACTCCAAAGACCTCTGCTTTCGTGCTGATAATGGTGATTTTTTCCTCAAAAAACACTTTGCTGTTGAATGTGAGATCTTTGTTTCCATTGCTCTTCCCATGAAGGTGAGCACAGTGCCCACAGCCTAAGTGAGGGCTTTAGATGCCACCAGCCCAACGCATTCAGATGCTCAGTGGCACTCAGGGACATGGGTCAGTGTGCATGGTGGTGGCAATGAGTTGATGGTTGGCCTTGATGATCTCAGTGGTTTTTCCCAGCCTTAACAACCCTATGCTGTGGAAATGTTGTGCTGCACGAGACTGGGCAGCTCTAGAGATGTATAAGAAGTAGTTGAGCTTGCAGGGCTTGCGTTCAGACCAAATATTTCTGTGTTAAATGCTCAGACCTCTGATGCTTCTGTCCCAGCTCTCTGGCCTGATGCTGATGTTTCCAGCTGAGTGTTTCTGCAGCCTCCCAGAAACGTGGTTCTCTGCCATCTGGTGTGTGTTAACCTTTGCACTCCTTAGCAAAACATTAGGCTTTGCTGGTCATATGATAAGGTGTATCCAGTGAAGAAAGAGAAATGGCAAGCTAGGCTTTTTACATTACATTGTTGCTCGTACAGTGCAGCAGCATCTCAGCAGAGGTTAATGCCATGGTGTGACTCCTCCACACCCAGGAAGTAATGGATTTAAATGGTAAGAGAAGTGAAAAACATAAAATGAATGCAAGAAGCAGAGCTCAAGACTTGGCCTCAAGGGGTGGGAGGAAAGAGCTTCTAAATCCAAAAGAATCCACACAATTGCTGTTGTGATTGGTAAGAAGGAGATGCCAACTATGAGAGCCGCAGGGCGACGCTCTCACATGGCTCTACCACTACACATCCATACATCTATATGCATAAAGTCATATAAACCCCCTGCAAGGAGCCCCTTGGAGGAGTTGGAGAAGACATCACAGCTTTTTTGCATGACAAACAGCCAATTCAAACACCTTTGCTGCTGTGCTGCACGCCTCTTCTCCCCACATCTTTCGCCTTTTGTGCTGTCAGGGAGAAGTCCAAGCAGGTGGTTTAAGAAAACATTAGCAAGGATATGTCATAGCCTTGCAAAAGTGTTTGAAGGGAAACGGAGCTGTTGCTTCCAATTTTTCACTTTGCTGCCTCCATGATGAAATACAGCCATCTCCACTTAAGTAATACCTTATGGAAAAGGAAGTGTCGTGTTTTTATTGGACGCCTTTTATGACTGGCCTCGGTGAAAAGTGCAGTTGTGAGCAAGTCTGCGCTCCTCCAGCCTTTCACCAGCTTGTAATCCCACAGAGGAGGGCTCCTTCCAGGCAGCCAGATTTGCAGCAGTGGGAGGTGTGGGGCAGGGAGAGCTGCTCCACGTACTGCAGTGATTTCCAAAGGCTGATGCCACTGTTTGCACTCTGAGAGCATTTCACTTGGTCGAGTTTCCACCGAGGCTGGGCTGCTCTTTGAATGCAACCAAGTTCACATCTAGCTGCAATGCCCTGCAGGGCTTCACAGGGATGTGATAAACCAGGAGGAATTTCCCCACCAAGGTTCTAACTCCTGGGCAGCTGCTCAGGTCACAGCAGTGAGTTTGGGATGTGTGGGAAGGATGGGAGCTTGCTTAGGGTCCTGCCTGCTGGAGGGCTGTTGATGGGTGTGCAAAATGCTTGGAGGGCGTTGTTTAAAATGCAATTGTTTCAATCCATCAGTGACCAATAGAAATGGGGTTTTTTTTGTGTGTTTTTTTTTTTCTTCTTTCTTTTCTTTCCAATTCAAAACAAAAATAACCAATGCTGTCACTCCCTGGCTGCTGCTTTGCTGCTTCTGGTGATAACGTGCGAGAGTTTATTCTGTCTGCCTCAAATGCCAAAGCATTTGGAGTGTTTAAAGATGACCTTTATTGCTCAGTTCTGAGAGCCCTTGGAGGGTTACCAGCTGATGCCAGCACGAAAGCTGCTATGAAGATCATCATTTGATAGCATAGTCACCTCATTGCAGGGCACAGCCAGGATCAGCTCTGCTGACTGCTAATTACTACTAGCTGCAAATCTACTTAATGACAACAATGACTCTTGTAAAGCTTCCCTGACACACCTGGTTGAATGGTGCACTGCATCATTTCCTTGGGAAAACTGTAATGTCTGACACTATTTTGACCTGAAAGGATTTGGTGGTCAGAGGCTTTGATGCCCCATTGCAAAGCAGCTGGGTTGCAGATGAGCAGATGGTTCGGGGTGAGAGCTGCCCAACACAGCACAAGATCTGGGTTGTAGTTATGGGTCAGTACCCAGAGAGACCCCACTGGGTCACTCCTGTGAGAATTAGGTTGCTATACACTTCTGTTAGCAGCTACCATGAAAGGGAAGATTTATTATTATTGAGTAATGACTCTTTCTGGACCAGGAGCTGCTGTTGGTCTGTTAGTCACCAAGAGCCTCCAAGTTTTCATCCCCAAATAAGCAGCTCACAAACTTCCAGATCCCAATGGGTGTTGCATGAAATTGGATTAAGAGCTCATAAGGAAAAGAAGAACTCAATTCCAGCCCTGTGTGCCCACAGAATGGATCAGGTGTTGGGATAATATTGGAGTCATCCACTAAAACAGCTCTTTGATAATTTGTTTCATCATGCAGATATGCAGTTTTAGATCCAGCATATCTGCAGACCAGGTTAAAACCTAACAAGAATGCATTGCAGTGAGGTGGAACGAAGATGTTCCAAACATAGCAAACAAAGGTTACCTTTCAAGTATCTGAGAATACTGAAACTTGTGTTTAATAGCCATTCTATGTGATGCCAGTGTAGAGTTCTGTTTGAAATATGGTAAAGTTGCATTAGAATACATTAAACAAAAGGACAGAAGATAAGGGAACAGACACTATGCTTTCCTAAAACGTAATCATTAGCTATATTACAGGTTTGGGTTGAAAGAGGACCAGTGTGCAAGGGAAGGAGTGTTCAGGTCTGGCTGCTGTGGTCATCCTATGCTAGAAAGCTGCTTTTATGCACTTCCTAAGCTTTGAAATTGGCTTTAAAGTGTCCTGGGATTCAGTCAGACCCTTCCAGAGGTGGAGATGATGACATATGGAAGCAAACCAGAATGGAAGGATAAAGATGAGGCATGGGCAGTTTGGTAAGGGCTGCTTTGAGTGTGGATGTGAGGAGAAAATTGTTCTCAGGAAGAGAGGTTGGGTATTGGCACAGCTGCCCAGGGGGTGAGGTGCTCCCATCCCTGGAGGTGCTCCTCCCCATGTGGGGATGTGGCACTTGGGGACACGGTCAGTGGGCACGGAGGGATGGGTTGGGTTTGGACTTGGGGATCTGAGAGATCTGTTCCAACCTCAGTGATTCTCAGAGCCCAAGTCCAAGTGAAAGATGAGCAAAAGCGACCAGGGAAAGGCTGGAGGTGAACAGAGCTGTGTAATCACCCTCTGGCCTCTTCCTAACTCACATTTTCTGAGCATTTGGGAGCCTGAACAATATTATTCCTGGTATACATACAGTGGTTTTTATCTTTTTCTTTTTGGGCTCCTTTTTGTGAAGGTAGCCCTATGGCAGTAAGAGAGTTCCATTCACACAAAGCTCAAAGTCCTGCTCTCCATTGCCTTATTTTGTGCTTTCCATTTTCCTCCGCCAGCTCCGGCACTGCACACCTCTCAGTCTGTGCCCCACAGGGCCACCATACGGGGCTGCAGTGTCCTTCTGCAGTGTCACACCCTCTCCAAGCATCTCTTTATGGCATTACTCAGAGCTGGGGGATGTGGTGGAATCAGCATCCTCTGCATCAGGCTCGGGGGGGGACACCGGTTGCCCACCCTTAACGCGTTTCCACTTCATCCTTCTGTTCTGGAACCACACTTTGACCTGGAGGATGAAAAGGACATAATGAGTTATTGCCTCCAGCAGGCTGATACCTGTGTGTCAATAGATGTATTTCGTGGAATTCTAGAGAAAAAGAAAAACAGAAGGAAGCTCCCAGGTTTAAGTGCTCCCTATCCAGTGAAGGTGCTCCAGGCAGATTTTCAGAGACCAGCAAGGGTAGCACAGTGCTTTGCCTGGAATCCATCAGGTGTCCATGGCAATCCAACAGGCACAGTGCACCCAAATGCCATCTGACAACCACTCCATCCAGTCTGATCCGTCAGGATTTTTAATTGGCTTCACTTAACTGAGCAATTCCTACTCTACCCACTGAACTTTGATAAGGAAACTCTGAATGAGGTCACAGTGAGAGGACAAATTTTTGCCCCCATAAAACTCAGCGTTTTTTTCTTCCCTCATCACCACACAAAGCTGCCTGGCCCAGGAGTAGCACGTGTATCAAATGTGTCATTCCAATAACCTCATGATAACTGGAGGCTGGTAGCATCCAGATTCTATCTATAAGCTTTGTACAAATGGCTCAGGAGGTGTCCCAGATGGCTTTTTTTGTTTGTTTAGAGAAGCAGAATTCCAGATATTAACTGCTTACAGAGATTTTTAGCAAATGTCTTTTAAAAGAATGTGGAGGTTTCATGTTGAAATCAGAGAATCGAGAGGTTGGAAAAGACCACTAAGATCACTGATTCCAATCAACCCAACACTGCTGTGCCCTCAAAACAATATCCTGCAGAGTGACAGACTTCTGTGCCATTGCAGAAGTGCAGCCTGGAGCGTTACAGCGTTAGGGAGAAACAGCAGGGGATGGGGTTTGAGTACCTGTCTCTCAGTGAGGTCCAAGTTCACGGCGATCTCGTATCTCCTGAGCCTTGTCAGGTAATTGTGATGGGCAAATTCTGCCTCCAGCTCCCTCAGCTGCTCCTTGGTGAATGCTGTCCTCTCCTTCCGCGACCTGCTGCTACCTTCTGCCTTGCTGCTGGAGGACTGGCTTTCTAAGAGGCAAGCAGGCATGCAGTTTGCAGTTACATTGACCTACAGAGATGTGTGCCCTACAGAGATGTCAAAGCGTCTTGTGTCCCCTTGGGCTCAGCACTGTCAGCCTTTGCTTCGAGGGGTAAAGTTGGGATAGGGTGCATCGCTTGAACTGCAGGAGGACAGGCCAAAGTGAGCAGCAGGAGGAAGGAAGCTCTCACTGCATCCACTCAGCACTCTCGATAGTTTCCTTCCCTGTGCATTTCACTCATGCATGCACATTGCTGCTCCCCTGATTTTGGCTGCAAACTGAAGGCAAAGGGAGCATTTTGCTGTGAGCACAGTGTGTGATGCAGTATGAGTGCATGGTGCAGGGGGAAGGGGGAAGGGAAGGCTGCTGAGTGAGCACCCTAGGCTAGCATTTAGCCTGGGTGCATTGGGAGGGGGGAGAGCATGGGAAAATGAGCAATGCTGGAGAAGTGGCATTCCCTGACTCAGCACTCAGTCCTGAAGGCGTTCAGCTGCTTCTAAGCTGAGCAGAAACCATTGGGCAAATGGCACTGAGGATGTCACTGTGAGGATGTCACTGCTCTTCATCTCCAAACAATGTGAATCATCTGAAATAGGCTCTGGGAACAGAGCAGGCAGTGCCCCACTTGGTGTTGTTAGGGGATGTGTGGCACACAGGCTTACAGTTAGCTGGCAAACTGCCTTAGGGAAGATGCAAAGACCACACAGTGCAGGATTTGGGCATTGCAGAGGGGGGCTCCTATCCCTCAGAGCAGCTTAAGCTCAAGCATGGGGGTCACCAATAGTAACGCAGGATGTTTGGTCACTGCAGTGATCCACAGGCCTGGTGGAGGCACCTGGTGTTTGCTATTCTGCAAACCACTGTCAATGCAGCTTTTCCCTCAGCAGAAGGCGTAATAAAAATCTGAAGTATCTGCATACCGTTGCTTTCTCCCCCTAGCAAAGAGTTTGAGGGCAGATTTATTGCAAATCAAGTAGTAAGATGGATTTTGCCATCACACGGGGCGTAAAATCCTGAAAGCTCTGGGAAACGTTGGCCAAGTGAAGTGACTTCATGGGGAGCTGATTCGTTTGGCAGCTGACGACAAAGTAATAACCAGAAGTAACTTCAGTGGGCACCTCATGGAGTGGAGCACTCGCGGTGGTGACAGATGGAGTTCAGCCCCCAGATCACTTTAAATTGCTGAGGGACTTCCCTATGCTTTTCTTGCTCAGGTTTTCAGTTGCTACCTGCCTTTATGTGCTGCTGTTTATGCCATTGTGGCTGTTAATGGGACTTGCAAGCATGGAGCACCCTCTTTATCCAATGTCATGACTGAGCAAAATTGTCCGAATCACTATTTCATTATATATAATTACATATTTCTATTCCATTTCTTGCTGCCTTATCCTTCAGCTCATGCCTTATTCTTCAGCTGTATGTATGGATGAAGTTGGGGTATCCAAACTGCCCATCTCAAGTTTGCCATTCTCAACAACATTCAATGTAAAATCGGAGGGAGGTGTTTCTTGAGGCTCAACCTCCACCCAGTGGGCATCCCAAAACTTTCAGTGCTTATCTTATGGTTTTAAAGGCTGATTTGGTTTAGGGTTGTGGGTTGGAGTTTCCTTACTGCTTGAGCGGTGTTGCTAGGTCTTCACTTGGTAGTAAACGAAAGATGTATTAAACCCAAAGTCATTACAACACCTTCCAGCCTCTTTAATGCTGTAATTACAAAGAGCTTTCTATAAATGATTTGCTAAACTGTGCAGCATCGAATAGAGGGGTGAATACTGATGGCTGTGGCCCCCAAGGCTCCCCCAGAATCAACTGACATCTCCAGCTCACTGCTGTGCCTGGGACACCAGGGCTGAAAATGGCATCTAAATAATGGATGCTGGTAGAGGAACAGAAAGGGATGCGTGTGCTCACACGTGAGGTCTTACTGCAGATACCCCCAATGCTATCCCAGAGCAAAGCCTTTCTGTAGCTGCTGTGAATCTATCAGTGCTTTAAAGAAAGTTTTAAGGATTTAAGAGCATTTTGATCTTTTCTACGTCTGAGAAACATTTCCATGTCTTGGCTCTCAAACCGTAAAGTGGGGATGCTGGAAAATACCCCCTACTTCTCAACATTCTGCGGATTGCAAATGAATACTGTAGCAAATATATGCATGTAAGCATCTGAATCTTAACAGATTCTCTAGGAGAAAGCACTGTTATGCATTTTTCACATATCTGGAGAATCGAAATAGTAACAAACCAGATGTCATCTGTCTGAAATTCTTGAACGCTGTACTGCAGGAAGAAGGTGGTTTGTTGGCAAGTATGGCACAATGAAAACTGTGAATGTTTTCCACGTTGCTGGGCATTGTGCTGGTGGGCAGTTCAAAACCTCAGGGTGGCATTCCCAGCTAACAGGGGCAGCTGGTGGGATCTTAGCCCTTTGATCCCCATTCTGTCACCCTTGGACAGCAGCAGTGGAGTGGAACTACCATCCTAGGGCTCTGAGCACAGCGTGGCACTGAGTTGGCACCCTGCTGCTGCCTAAAAGGGACGGGTTCAGCTAATAAGGAACAAAACTCAAACGCCAAAGGTCATCAAAGGACAAGCAACTTCATTTCCATTGAGATACTGTATAGTTTTCCTCAGTCAAGAATTACAAAATATTTTCCCCATCCATCCATCCATCCATCCATCCATCCATCCATCCATCCATCCATCCATCCATCCATTTTTCTCCAGTAGCTTTACTCCTACTCCTAGAGATGCTCTCCCCATCCCACCCCACACCCCCACTTCCACGCCACCTACCTGAGTGTTCCTTTTTCCTCTTGGTTGCTTTTCTCTCCGTCTCCATCGCGCTGTTTACCGGCACCTCATAATCTTCTCTTACACCCGCTGCTGTGCTCACGAGGTTGGGACTCTCTGAGTCCCCAGAGGCCAACGCCAGCCCTGGGCTCAGCAGTCTCCGGGCCTCTGTCGTTGCTTGCTGCCACTCAGAGTGCGGACGGAAGACTGGGGGCTGCTCCTCGGTTGGGACGCAGTGGGCAGCGCTCAGCAAGCAGGAGGCTGAGAATTCGGAATAAGCAGCAAAATCCGCCTTGGGGTGGAAGGAAAAAGGGGTCGGGGGGCAGTGACCCAACCCCGGGGCTGTAGGGACATCAGCACCCCGCAGGCAACCCCAGAGTGGGGCTGGGGGTTGGGGGCTGCGCATGCAGCTGCCGCCGGTGGGGTCCATCCTTGTCCCGTGCTCGTCACTTGGGTTCCTCAAGCAGGAGAGGAGAGGAGGGGAAATGTTTCCAAATTTGACAGCCCAGATTTCCTCCCTAAGCGACACTTTGGCTGGGGGGTTTGTGCGGTTGGAGGTTTGTTAGTTGGAAAACTCTTCTCGAGATCTTCATTGTCCCAAATGGATGGAGGAGGAGATCGCCCCAAACGGGGTCCCAAGGCTGATGCTGGAGTCCTTGTGAAGCGCTGGACATGAGGGAAACACTTTTTAAATACTGTGTTGGGGAGAGAGTGACAACTTTGTGAAGTGAAATGTGAGAGAGGGGAGGGAGGGGTTAACGTACACACACCCGCTCCCTCCAACCAAAGCAAAGCAGCACCTATTAATCATCCGAAACCTTATATGCACATCTAATGGGATTTGCAGATGGAGACTTTTAAAGAAACAATGTCTGTATTTTTTTCTTTTCCCCCCCAAAAAAGGTGGTTGGGGGGGGGGAGAGGGGGGTAAAGAGCAGCACACATGCACACACACACAAAAAGGCTTTAATGTTTCCCTGTGACACTATGAAGTTATTTTTATTGCACTGTTAACAAAATTCCCCGAGTCTTGGGGTTGGAAAAAGCCTTAATACGGAATTCAACAGATGCCAGAATCCAAGAAGCAAAGTGGGAAATAAAAGTAAGAAAGTGCTTCACTGATTATTTATGATTTAAGACCAGGCTGTAATATATTTTTAGGTGACTTGTGTGCACGTGCACAGTTCTGAGGGATTTTTGTTCTTTTAGCTTTGTAACACTTGTCTTTGCTGATGGTTACTGCTGGTGGCAGTTATTCTTTCTCTATCCTGCTTTCCAGGGAGTTCTCCGTATGCCACTCCTTCTTACAAGGAAATGTGCCTTTGTGCCAATGTGAGACGTGTTTTTCATCTTTTGTTGAAAGTTTTATGGTTCTTTTTAACACAAAGCAGATCCGCAGACCCCAGATCTGCTGCTGCTGCGTGGGTGTTAGCAGGGAATCTGCTCTCCATCCCTTTGACACGGAGAGGTGGCACCTGGGAACACCCCGAATATCACTGCAGAGCTGCAGTGGGGTTGCTGCAATGGTTTGTGTGTTTTTAGGGGTGATTTACACAGCCACGTGTGCTGTGTTTCTGTAATCTGCTTGCGACCTTCTCCGTTGCTTTGCTGTGCCTCTCTACAGGTCCATCTCTTTCCCCTTCTCCCGCCATTTGGGCTGGGTTTGTGCTCTCATAATCACAGAGGGATTTACCAGATGGGCACAGAGCCTCCATTTTTCTTTTTCTTTTTTTCCCATGGCTTGAAGTGCTACTTTTATTTGGCTTCTGTATAATTCAGCGCTGTGACATTTAGAGGAATCAAATGGAAGGAGGGGTGTGCTCATCCCAATCCCTGCTGGGTTATAGCTTGGGCTTTTCCAAGCAATCAGGTGGGCTTAGCCCAGATCTTTCTGATCAAGAACATCACCTTTTACCTTCACATTAATGTGACTTTCTTGCAAAATGCCAAACACAATTCATCCTCCAGGAAGGGCTCTCCTGCATAATTCAACCTGTACAGAGAGCAAACATTCAAACACGTTTCCCACTGCCTGGCAGGAGGAAAGAGCACAGATTGCTCTGTCTGGAAGGCCAGGTGGCAAAGGATGTGTGGATATTTTGGGCACCAGCAGGATCCAGGCTAGAGCCCAGAGTGGTTTTGCCAATGCAGAATATTTCATTTGTGTTCACCCACCAAAGTCATGCTGGGTAGTAGAGATTTGCATGAGCTCAAGCCTAGGTCTGTGTTTTTCAGCCCTGCTCCCAGTTCCAGCTAATTAAACAACTACCTACTTCTCATTTATGTCCGTGCACGTATATTAAGGGAAACAGAAGGGAAGGGAGGATTATCAGTCGATGCATTGCTCCTTTTATCCAGGGGAAGGTTCAGGTTCCCATGGGACCCCAGCAGGGCTCTGACCGTGACACACAGTTCAGTTCTCGCACATCGCTTTGCACCCCCGGTTCAACCACCCGGACCCCATTTTCCCCACAGAGCTCTCTGTTGTTGTTCCTCTGACTTCAGATGTGGGAAAAGGAGATGGCAGACCCTCCCCAAATGTGGGAACCCCCCGGTCCCTCACTGCCCCAGCACTCCCTGCAGCTGCTGCTGTCACTCAGCGGCCCAGCGGGGGCTTGTTTGCCCTCTACATCTTCCTGACACTTCAGGAAGCAAAAACAACAGCCCTCCCCTCTTGCCAGAGCCCATTTGTTGGACGAGGCAGCCACCTTTAACCTCCGCAGAATCAACATCTCTTCTGCCAGACCCCAGGCTGGGCGGGAAATATAGGATGGATGGGTGCGATTGGCTTCAAACCCACTGCAGCAAGAAGCTCAGAAACAGAGGTGAAAAACAAACCTGGGCCAGCTGAGGCTTCTGTATCAGCAAAAACCCACAATAAATACACTGGTGCTGATGTGAGATTGTGCTTGTTGGCAAGGCAGATGCTCCTGGAGACAGTTCAATATTCCATTAGGAAGTCGTCCTCTGCCACGTGGAAGACATCGCACTCCAAGGAAAGATTGTTGCTGATTCTTTGCTCTCTTATGTCTGCTTTTGTGAGTCTGCAAAACTGCAACACCACGTGCAGGGAATGGGGAGAAGAAGGGCTCCCAGAAAGAGGCTGGGCCTATCCTGAGCCTTGCCTCACTATCTGGGTGGTTTTGGTGGGTCAAAGGATTACAAAACTGGGTCCTAGCACCCAGAAGCTCTGAAGTGCATTTTCAGAGGCATTTTGTAGCTATTGGGTCACAGTTCTTATTCCCGCCTGGCAGAATTAAGCTTTGAGGTGCTGGAGTGTGTCCAGAGAAGGACATTGAAGCCGTGAAGGGTCTGGAGCACAAATTTTATGAGGAGAGGCTGAAGGAACTGGGATGGTTCAGCTGGGAGAAGAGAAGGCTCAGGGGGAGACCTCATGGCTCTCTACAGTGCCCTGAAAGGGGATTGAATTGAGAGGGGGTTCTGCCTCTGCTCCAACGTAACAGAGATAGGATGGGAGGTGATGGCTTCGTGTTGCACCAGGGGAGGCTCAGGTTGGATATTAGGAATAATTTCTTCTCATAAAGAATTGTGTGAGCCATTGGCACGGCTGCCCAGGGGGGTGGTGGAGTCACCGTCCCTGGAGGTGTTCAAGAACCATGAGGATGTGGCACTGAGGGATGCAGTAGTGAGCATGGTGGGATGAGTTGGGATCTATGCAAGGGATCTACATAAGGATATATCTACATAAGAAGATCTGGGTTCAGATATGTCTGTAGGAACAGTAACCACAGCGTGTAGTGAGAGCTGCTGTCCTGATTTATTGCAGCTGTTGGTTTGCAGGTATTGAGGGTGAAGTTGTCTGCTCCACCATGCATAAAGATGGTGGCTGGAGAAATGCCAAAGTGGGCACGTGAGTGGTAAGCAAAGGAGTAAATGCACAGAGAGATGGAGCATGAGCAGGAAGGAGGGGGAACCGGGTCCTGGAGGGCTGCACTCCACCTGCAAGGGGCTGGGGCTGAGCTGGAGAGGAAATGCCAAGCCCAGAGATGGGCTCTCTGGGTCCATCTGTCAATTTAATAGTTTTCTCAGCATCCTGAAGGAATAAAAGAACAGAAAAAAGTGTAAAGCTTGGGCTAATCGAGGCAGTGAACCTGGGAGGGAAAGATGATCTCCTTGAAATGAAAGCTAAAGAGCTGTGTGGTTAAAGAGCTGTATTAAAAGACATTAGGTATTGGACAAAACGTCAGGAAACATTAACTTGCGTTTTGCTGTAATCCCCTATGGCAAATTAGTCTGGTTTAAAAGGCCTGGATTTGCAGGAAACCAGTGTGAGGGTTTTTATGGTTTTGGGGGAGGTAATGGAGAGAGAAAGGCTGTGTTACCTCCAAAAAAGCAGCGGTTTGTCACGGTGGTATCAGCTGCTTGGTAGATTTGTCTCTCCAAACTTCTAGGAATGGGATTGCTGTCTGTTTGTAGGGAGAGCTCATGCAGCAATGATGTGATTTTGGGGAAATTGTGCTGGAGAAAAGGCCCCAAACATCTTGTCAGGCTGAAGTATAATACCTACCCTGGGTTACATGGCCATTCATGCTTTAAGCCTGGAAGAATTTTGTCCAAAAGGCACAGTAAAAGAAGTTTAAATTATATATATGTATACGTTCAATCCTATCATCTGTTGTTCATTTTCATCCTAACATCATTCTTATGCTTCAGCTGCAAAATCAGCAGGCAGGTTAAAGCAGGTTCCTATTGCATCTCCTGAGGTTTGAGGCAAACACCCCCAATTGCTTCTGCACACAAAGGCGACTGGAGGGGAGCAGCGGTGGAATGAGCATTTCCTCACCCAGCACAAGGGTGAGAACAGCGAGCAGTGAGTGAGAGCCATACACATCCAAGCAGTGTTTTGTTAAGCAAAGCACGAGCTTAGGATTTGTGAAGCTTTCCATCCCAGAGATTGATGCTGGAGCTGCATTTCTGCCCAACGCAGGCTGTGCGATGGCAGGGAGCATTGAGTCTGGGTGATCTCGTGATTGATACATTAATTAATCTGGATTGTCTCTCTGCTATGGTGCTCTCAAAAGCGTGATTTCAGGGGCAATCTTATGACAATATTTCAACTGATTTAATGACTCAAGCTTTTGTCCTCCACCTCCTATTTCAGCTGGTCTGTTCCAAACAGTTGACGTTAAAAAAAATAATGAAGGGAGAAAGGATGGAGCTCAGTTACTGTGTTCATTTGGAAACTTTGCTGTCTCCTCTTCCTTCCTACTGCTTTCCTTGGGACTCCAGCAATGGAAACAGTGAGAGCAGCATCACATTTGTTACCTATTTGGCCTCAATTGTGCTGAGCCATTTGCAAGCTGCATCTGACTACATGCACTCATCGTTTTCATACCTCTAAAGAGATTGGCAGATCTTCTATTTGTTGCATTTGCCCTTTCCTTTCTTCCAAAGCTCTTGCACACTTCT